GCCTTCCTTCCTCCACAGTATCCGACAGGTGACAACTGCACGCCCTCGGAAAGGGGTGCTCGGATACTGGTCGGGCTTACACTGGCGCTCCGGTGCCTCATAGGCACCTTCACAGCGTTGCCCGGCTATACCGACCAGCAGCCGACAGCCAGCCGGTCGCGGTGCACGACGAGTGACGACTGACTAGGCTATGCGAAGGAACGCGCACAACGCGCGCACATACGCGCCGCGTTGTGGCGGCCGAGCAAAGATGGGCCGGGGCGCGCGCGGTGCGCCCAGCGGCCACCGTCGCATCCGCGACAACCATGTTGTATCATAAGCTTGCGTTGTCTACCTTCATTTGGTTTTGCTTCTGCAATTTCTATGTTCATGTTATCTAACGAGTGAAGTTCCTGAAATGGCGCACTTACGAGTATATAATTAAATAAATAAGAAAGTAAATAAGTTCGATACCTGCTGAGGTAGAAGCTATGCTTGGCAGGAATTGCACGAATGGTGTTACAGAGTCGCACCAGCATCAGACCGAAGTTGATAGGCCTGGGTGCTGGATAAAATCCACTCACAACAAACATGCCTGAAGTCACAAAAAATGGTATTCAAGAAGCGCCGCCCAGAAATGGCACGGAAAACCTCGCTCCTACTTTCGTAGAGATTGCGGAAGGGCTATATAGATCCAACGACCACAGACACAAGATACAGTTCAAATCGAGACTGAATTTTGGAGAATCAAACATATGGTCAATGTGGTATGGTGTAGTCACTATGGTCAATGCAGAAATGAAATTATCCCACCACTACCTCTAAGCGGGCATGTTGGGAGTTGACAAGGAGGACTATAGTTATTCATTGAGAAAGAGATATTATTGAAACATGTAGAAGTAGTGAGATCATTCACCGCAGCTTAGAAAGACCAACGGGGATCAACTGATCATTTGTGAGGAAGTCGCCCTTAAAAACTCTGATGGGCATAAAGGGTACTGCCAAGCGAAGAATTGACTCTGCAGCTCAGGTCCCTCTAAGCAGCTATAAACAAAGACTTCTTGAAGAAATCAAAGGCAGGAATGAAGATGACAATCCGGTGATAGAAGTGTATCGTGCCGAGAACGAACACCTGAAGAGGAGGATACTAGAATCTGGTATCCGATACCGTGAAGTACCGATACAGCAGACTTGGTGCAATGTGAAAGTTACTCAAGGTGTGCAGGAGGAGTGCTGGGGAAGAGTGACGAAATGTCCCGATGACACAAAAACGCGTGGTTTTGGAGCGAGAAGAATTCTACCGAGATGTGACGCAGAAGAAGGTCGAGAACAAAAGTAGGTGAAAAACAACTTCTCGCTGTCTGCGAAAGTTGCAAGAGATCGGAGAAGCTGCCGTAGCGAAGAAAAAGAACACGAAACTAAATGTGTGGACGAGAAACTCGGTGGTAATGATGGGGAAATTTGTCTACCGGTTAGCAAATGCCAAACATTGGGCTACTCAAATGCTGGAAGGAACGGCGACTATGCCATCATAAGCATGTTTGTCGAGATCAAGATGGTACGAAAACTTCGACAGGCTTCTAAACAAAGTGTGTTCTGGCAAAGAAAGATCGTAAGTTGAAGCAAACGGTGGTCCCATTGCAGGATAGACAGGTGATCAGATGCGTCGAGCAATAGGGACAATGAAGAATGGGAAAGCATTAGGCTATGACGGGGTGTGGTGCAGTTGAATCGAAAATGTCGCTTCGAGCGATTCGTGCGCGAAGAAATACAGCAGAATGAAGAAGAAGCGCAGAATTATGGCAAAAATAATAATGGCATATCGATGGAGCTGCATGAAGAACGCTAGAAATGCAATACCGGGCCAACTAGCCGAGTCCGCGGCTGCGGCGTGCGGCTAATCAATTACACAAAAAACTCTCGTCTTCCATTCTGACGGGATACCGTTGCTCGTTGAGACATGAAAAGCGTTCGTAGAGCTCGTGATGATGGGCTCACTTGTTCTTTGATCACGTGAAGGTTAAAGGGAGAACTTAAGATGCATATAGAAATCAGCATTACCATCCGAAGGCGCGATAGAGTGCTTCAACTCGTGTGGGATAAAGTTCACTCTTAATAAAAAGAATCTGCAGAGGCGGCTTCTCCCAATCTTTTGAGACAGTTTGGATTCTTGCCTAAAAGGTCTGCAACAGATACCATATTTGAAGTTATACAGCTGATGGGGAAGTGTAGAGAAAAGCGTGGACTTATCCTCAGTCTTCTTAGATCTGGAGAAGGCTTCCGACCGTCTCGTATAAATGAAAGCATAGACGTCTTGTTTGGGGTATAAATGATCAGCTCTAATCCCGTCCCTTTTTTGCTTACAATGAATGTCAGAACTCGGAGAGATTGAAAGTCACCTTTCGCGCTGATGATGCTGCTTCAAAAGAAAAGGAAATATAGTGGAAAGCGAAGAACGGCAATACAAACTGTAGAATTAGCATGGTGTGCTGAACGGGGGTCGAGACCAACGTCCACAGCTCAAAGTAGTGCTCATAATCAGTAGTAGGGGCAGACGGAAAGTCGTCGAAAGAGTGCAAGACTTCAATACATAAGAAAACATCTATGTTGACGGTAACCTGAATCAGGCTATATGGTCTCGAATAATTGTGACATGGATGGAATAAGGAAACTTTGTTAACATCCTCTGCGATCGACGGTGCTCCAAAAAGCTCAAAGAAAAAATTCAGGGAGCAGTGGTAAGGAGAAGAAATTATGAATAGTTAGGAATCAAGTTTTCTATTTTCTAGATTCTCCATGTTTTTTACCAATATCAACCTATTTTACACTCATAATCATTGCTTCCATTTCATCCTTCTACGTCATTCTGAAAACCAGAATAAGTTTTTCATGAAGAATGTCCTGCTACCAATCCTCAAACTTGTAGTCTATATTAGGCGAGTATTCAGACAAATGCTTTGTAAACCTCTGGAAGTATTCTCAATATGTTTACTTAAAGTCTGCATCATTTACTTTTTTCTCAAGGACCTGCATGCAACATTTCCTTCATTCTTTCTTGGCAACAAACGACTACCAACTCCATCAGCAAATCGCTTGCAATGAACTGCAGGAATCTGAAGAAAAGGTCGCAAGTCTTTTCTTGGCATTCTTCCGTCCCATTTTCAAGATGCGCCAATGGATTCGAGCCTCATTCGGAATCGTAGTGACGTTTCGAATTGGAAATGTTCCGAATTTCTTGATTTGGAATGTATGGAGCTCACACAACGACTTATACTGTTCAACTGTGGAGTATGTCAGTGCTTCTGAACAACCATGTCGTCGACTTCAGATTGGCCTGATTGGCTCGTGCAGGTACCAAGCAGAATTTGGTCTCCAAGCCATAAGTTTGATAGCGCTTCATTTGCGACATTTTCTTTTCAGGGAGAAACAGTATCATAACAGGTTTAGTCCATCAGGAGTTACTAAAGTTAGGATCTGAATGTGGTGTCTTACTGTGTATTTGATGATCTCGAAGGCACGTTTCGTGATAAAAATGGGGAATATAAAAAGGGAGATCCAGGCGATATTGGCAATTTTCCCCCAATCTGCCCGCTGTTGTAATCTACAAGCTTTTCACGGGTGTCATCATCAACAGGATTGGCAGAATATTAGATGAAGGACAGCCATGCGAGCAAGCAGTGTTTCGGAGAGGGTTCAGCACAATTGATCATATCCACCTCTGAAAAGGGCTCATTGAAGTATCTCGAGGGTACAAAATGCCGTCATTTCTTACGTTCATCGATTTGAAGGAATCTTTCGACACCGTTGAGACAGAAGCGGTAATCGAAGCCCTGGACGACCAAGGTGTTCCTACTCAATATATAAGGATGCTTTGTGTGCTCTACGACAACTTCACTACCAGGATCACAACATTCTACAAGGAAGTCAGGAAGTATTATCGTGAAGAGGTGTAAGGCAAGGCGATAGCATTTCGACCAAACTTTTCAGCGCTGCTTTTGAGAATATTATGCGTCATTTGAAATGGGAAGATTTGGGAGTGAAGGTCGACGGCCGCTACCTACATCACCTTCGCTTTGCACACGACATCGTGCTCATAACACCGAACATCGAGCAGGCGGAACGAATGCTGGCCGAGTTTGACAGTGCTTGTGGAAAGTTCGGCTTGAGACTGAACTTAACGAAGTCGATGCTTAGAAAAACGGACTGGCACCTGATGCTCCTTTCACTTTGCAGAAGGAAACACGCGGAGTGGGGAGCATCCAAGAATATCGGGGAAGTAGTGAAGAAGACAAAGAACATCCGGCTTTTTTCACTTTTTCGACACTGCTGTTCTTCGTGCTTTGACGTACGCCTCGGAGACTTGGACTTTCCGAAAGCAGGATGAGCATGCTGTCAGCGTTATACAACGCACTTTGGAGAGGACGATTCTCGGAAATTCTCTATACACGCAAGTGTAGGAGGAAATCCGGAGTTCCGAGCTCGAACGGAAGATCAGGGGTGCCGAACGAAGATCGAACGAACGAACGAGGATCAGGGATGCCGTTGTTTACGCCAAGAAATCGAAGATCAGGTGGGCCCGACACGTTGTGAAATATAGTGATGACCGTTGGACCAGGGCGTTTACTGACTGGATCCCTCGGGACATCAAACGAGCTCCAGGAAGGCCGCCAATGAGTTGGTCAGACTTCTTCACCAGCTCTGAACGAAAGGAATGTTGAACCTCGTATCCCTAAAGCGACGCTAGACCACTCTGGCTCGTGACGGGGACGAATGGAGATGCTACTGGCGCCCGCTCAAGGAAGCCGATGATCAGCGGGACGACAGGTGATACAGGTGATACAGGTGATGCCATAGCTTATCAGCACTCACACGTACAACGTGTTGATAACATCATCGTGTTGTTAAGCTAGTAAGCTAGTAGCTAGTTATAGCTAGTAAAGCTTACAGCTTAATGGTTCAGTGCTGATATTGGCCGACTGGCTCAACACGTTGTACGTGTGAATTCTGATAAGCTATGGCATATAAGCCATTAAAAACGCGAGGGCAAGCGGGGTCTTGGTAGTGAAAGGGATAAGAGCACGGAAAAGACAAGTACGGGTTCGAGTCCCGTTCGAGACTGAAGTTTTGTCCATAAATCGCCAACCTTGTGAGATTTTTCCGCAGTGTTTTTTATGACGTCTGCGACATCTCCAGTCATGCCGCTTCTCATTCGTAAACGTGGATTTCGATAGTTAAAAACGGTTCTCGAAAATGATCAATGACCGAGCGAACTGAATCTCCAACCCCTCAGCGCAATACATTTGGACACTTTTTTGGCTTCTTCCATATCTTTCTCGTTAAGCCGGCTAAAATTCTATCCATTTCATGAGGAATCGCGCTTGCACGTAACACAGATTCCACTGCATCGCTGAAAACCACGTTTAACTCCTAACGCTCTGGAATAAACGTCTACTTCTCGCTTTACGCACCTCATCATATCAGGGTAGCCGGGCGTCAATCTAGCTTTCGAATCGCCTACTGAGATGGGAGTATAAAGGTTCTGTCTGTAAGTAGTCGATACTCAGCCCACAGAAATGAGTGCGAAACAGATGTTTTCATGGGACGTGATGGCAATAACTCATGAAACATTAACGCTTGGTGTTGCCCTTCTTAATCCAGGATTATGAATTGGGCCCGAATCGAAAGTATTATTATCTGAAATTTTTTCAACGACAACCAGGAGAGAGTCTCGCCAGACTAATTGGTCTGCAGAGCTTATTCTCACCAGTTATCATTTACCCTTTGTGAAATTCCACCTGCTTACCTTCTTTAATCAAGGAGTTGGCTTTCACTGTGACATTTCGTAAAACAACCGTCTTGAAAATTTTAGGCGGATTATCTTATGTTTCTCACACGGATTTATCTCATCTCGGACAATAGTCAAAGATAATTGGATAGGCATCCGTATTCATGTCTCCTGCGATTTCTATCAATGAATGATCTCTACTGGTGCCTTCACAAGGGAACCGAAAAGAAAATGGCTTCTTCCAATCGAAGCAAAAATGAAGTGGTATCAATCAACCTCAAATGGTAAAGTACCTCTCAAAACTATTGATCTGTTTTTTTTCTTAACAACGTTAGGGGTATGCTGAATTACATCAAGACCAATCAATGATCAAGATCAACCAATTTCCTTTAGACAAGACCCTGGTCTTTTTCAAAAATGACGGAGCACTTAACTGCTTACTATTATTATTGGTGCTATGATTACTATCATTATTATTTATAATTATAACGATAAAAATTATTAATATTATTATTTCTGTCGCTATGGCCGAACAGATAAAAGGACTGAAATGCAAAGAAAGAGCATAGCTCTGATAGGCAGTTCGTAGGCAAAAAGGGTACCCACTTCCCTATGGGATCAAGTAGGCGTTCCCAATGAACGTTGCTCGGGATTCACGTAACGTTCTGTAAACCATCTTTCATAGATATATATCGTGAGAGACTATTCACAAGTCGTTTCACGCATGTTGTTGTCTACAAACACATAAGTGCTGAGATACCATCTTCGATACCCTGGATGTACGGCAGATCGAAGGGCCCGTTCCTTGGGTGAATACAGGCTGAATTCAACGTTATTCAATCTCTTATGCTATTAACAAGAATCACCGACAAATACTTACTTCTTCCACTGATTCTTTTCATTCTCATATTTGCTACCTATATTTGGAAGGAAACTGCCAATGATTCTTTCACGACGTCTTACTCTGTAACTCAAGTTCCCCAATGTTGGTTATCTTTTTCTTGATGTGAATTTCTATCTTTTACTCTTGGAAAAAAGTATGAAGAAAAGGGACAAAAGATGAGCTGGCTCTCGTCGACTTCGATTTCTCGTCTCTCCCAGCTACCGTTCAGAAATGTAAAGGAATCCGAACCTGCGACCATGCCCGAAAAATTGTATGGGTTGCCGATATCCGAGCACATTTTTATCTCCTACCAAATGCTGATAAAGATGGGAAGAACAGTAGAGTTGCCCAGAATATCATCTTAGCAAGCGCTGGCCGCGTCTTCCTTACTGTTCAAGCTGAAGGTCTGAAGGAGGGGGAGGGGGAGCGGTGGAGGAAAGGTGAGCTAGCACTCTGAAGTGGTCCTCATAGGTGTGAAAGTATGAAAAGCAAGTTCCTCAGGAGTTTTATCGGTCGTTTTACTTTTCACTATAACCAAATCGGAATTTAGCTTCTTTTTCAGATCCAGAGTTGGAACCGTACTTCAAAGAAATCGAGCAGCTCGTTGAAGAAGAGAGTGATGTGTCTGAAATCATCCCACCCTACTATCCTATGGAAAATTTTTACGTAGTACGTACAGTTTTTTATTTTCTCTTGAGACAGGTGGTTTTCTAGAAATAGATTGTCTTCCGTCTTCTTTAAGCGGGAAGAGTTTGCGACTAAGTACTTGTTCACAAGAAATTTGAAACTTTGCGTGCTTCCTAAGGCTTCCTCTCCTTACTGTCTCACCGCGGTTCATGCAGTGAAGTGAGCAGGTCTACCGCAGCTTTCAAAAACTCATGCACCTGCAGCTGAGTCAACAAGGTAGTGAAAGGTCACATTTGCATATTTTGAGGGGAAGCGTTGAATCTACAAGCAGCGTCAGTCAATTGAGCCGGGTCAAAAACAAAGCCGGCTAATAAAACAGTCGGATCTCGATCCGCAGAAGTACTCGTACACGTTTCCAAAAAAATGAATTAATTTATTCACCTGTTTATTTATTTATTTATTTATACATATGCATCACCAAGTGCGCCACAATTAGTAGCAAATAAACTACCCCTGCCGCCACTGTACAAAGTGAGATTAGGAAAGGAGGGAGGACAAAATCACTAGTGTGCAAATGGCGTGTTCACCTTCTCCTTCTAGGATAAACAGTATTTCAACAACATTCAAACTTGAAGAAAAGTCGGCTCTTTTCTAGGTATCTCCACCATATAACCTAGCAACATGTGAAATTGAGAAAAATATGCTAACAATACGTCGTTCAATATTCTGCTACTTAACGAATACCACACAATTTATTGCTGAAAATCGCTCGATCAGTACGGAATTTTGGAATGATTGGTAAGAGTTTCAAAGTGCATTATTAGGTTCATTTTTTTCTTTTTTTTTCCATTGCTTTTATCTGCTTTGTGGCATAAAAAGGAGTGGGACATGATTGCACGTAGGAAAAGCGCTTACACAAACAGAAACTACTTGTGATAAATCCAATGACACCCACACACATGACAGGAGCATCCTTTGTGAAGACGTATTTTTCTACGCAAACTTTGGACTTTTCCGCATACGGGACTAACCATTGCGAAAATAGTTACCCCCCTAACCGGTTTTTGCCTTAAATTCTCTTCAAGCAGGTTCACTACCGTAACATTGAAAAGTAGAAGTGCACCCTTGCTTTTACTGTATTCGCCAAACATATCCAGCTCAATCTCACCTTCATCTGGGTCCCACTGCTCCATACAGCAGAGCCTCAGGATATTATTGCCCAGCATCTCCACTTCGACCCCTCTCTTCCATTTGATCATTGATCCTATTTTACAATCACGACTCGACATGAACTCATTGAGCTATGACTGTTTCTCCTTTTCTATGTCCTTAGTGTGTAGAGGAGTCCTGCGGGAGTTTTGCTATTCCTAGCGCTGTTCCCTTTCGGAGCGTCTTTGTAAATAAAACACTCGTACAATCTTGCTTAGTAGCCTCTTCTTTACTATTCACATCTGACTGGCAAGGATTCTTAACCCCGCTTACTGGAATCTCCATGAATGATTAAACCTGTACCTCCGTGATTCCCATGTGAATTCCAGTCATGATTTTGTCCCAGAGTTGTCCATCGTCCACCGTTTCAGCAAGGACCTAACATTGGTATCTGCACTATTATTACAATTTTTGCAAAGTTGAATACGGCATTAAGTTTACGGACATCGATTGGTAATCCTCAGCAGTGCACGTGCAAACCTATACAATTAACTACTTCACAATTCTCGCCTCCTATTGGAAATCACATCAGTGATTTTTTCTGAGTCGTAGGGGTCTTGGTCCTCTCTGGAACTAGGGACCTCTTGGACCAAAATCTTTTTCAGTAGAATTTGTTGCTTTTGAATCTCGTTGACACACACCAAATGAGAGTGAAAAAGGTATACATATAACCAGTGATCAAAGCAAAAAAGGAGGCAAAATTCTCGTTTCAGGTTATGTGATCAGACGTTTATACGGGATAGTTTGAGTAGCGTTAGGGACACAATCGAAGCCAATTTGACACTGTTCACCGTCGTTCGCCATCCAATCGATCGATTTCTCAGCGGATACGTCGATAAATGCATGAAGTAAGTAAAAAAATTCCCCAGAAGGCCCTTTATGCCTCGCTGACTTTTTTGAATGAAGATGTAGGATGTTTTAGGTGGGTACTGTGTGCTCAGCGAGTTGGAGTGGAACAGTTTATGGTAAACCTCTTAATCGTTTCCCCTGGTGTACATAATCTATCAGTTTGAAGAACAGATGAAGCAGGGTGGTAGAATGGTCCAATGAAAGCGTAGCGGGCAAGTGGGGGTTCTTACTACCACATTATCATTATAGCTGCATCAACGAGCTTTTCCTTGAAAGAGCCTTGATACTAGTTCTTTGGCCTTCTAGGACCAGCTTTAGTGAGTGCGCTCGGTTTTTTCGGTTCTATAGAGCTTCTCTAAGTTATTATACAACTCAGCTTAAGCCCAATACTAATTGGGAATTCAACTGAAAAGAAACGTCAACGCATTACCTACACGACTACAAAAAGTTTCCAAACGCTATGGAAGATTTTGGTGAATATTGCTGAACTCACCCAAGTGTTTACTTACTTATAATGTGTTGTATGTAGTACAATGATGCACTATATACAGATCCAGGAACCGAGTTACGAATCGATACTCCCACCTCCCCCCCTCCCTCCCCAGCCAACCGAGCCTCCTTCTCGCCGGTGGCGTCAAATGGTACCATCCCACCCGTTTGGGAGGGTAAATGTACTGATTTGTAGTACTGTTGGCCACGACAATTGATTGTATAGGCCATACACGCATAACAAACTTCTCTGTGTGTGATTATGATTAGAAGTCGAATGCGTGGAAGTCCAAAAACGAATCGCTCTACTGCATAAGGCTTCATCTTTATTACTTTTATACCTAGGGTTCATTGGGCAAGCGGTAGCTACCGTAGATTTTATGTCGTTCACAAGTTGCTTTGCTTCTAGATGAAAATCGACAGCACATCGAACAAACGCGAGGAGCTAATCGGAGTTTAGTCGGAGTAGCCACTGAAATCACCATGTTTTTCAATTTCGTTTGGATGGGGATGGGAAGGAGCAGTAGTAAGAGGAATCCTAAAATCAAGCGATGAATTGAACCACGCCACTAGCAAGTTACCTCCACTCATTCTATGTCATTCACTTTGTTCAAAATTTCTTTTACTACAACTTTATTCGTTCGACGACATGAGACTTTCGATATGCTAAATGCTAAAAACTATCACAAAAATCTGGAAAAATTGTCGATTTCGAGATAGATACCCCCTCTCATTTCAACATTGTCAGTAGGATTCTGTATATTCAGTAGTCCGATTTTTTAATTTATGAGCCAGTTTTCTAGCGAACTAACCTACTACACAGAGGATGAGCGATGTTTCGGATGTCGGAACGACATGCGTTGTTTTGTCGACGTTCTTCACGAAGTTTTTATGGAGTACTACAACAATAGCACTGAGACTGAAGACGATCCTGAAATGGCGCGCATGGATCACTACTACATTCGACACTTTGCACCCCAAACATGGTGAGGGCAATGGATCTTTGAAGCATTACTTAAGCAGTGACTTAAAGACACATTACACGATCAAAATGGTTTTTAGTTCTCTTCCTAGTGGCCCCCAAGGGTAAGAGGAAGGAGGCTGTCGAGTCCCAAAACACAACAGGCAGGGTTCAGTGGGAGCCCCGTTACCAGATTGCCCGCACTTCCCACCCCTCGATCGATGTCACGTCAGAGGCTGCTTTCATAGTACACGATTTGGCCAGCGACCGATCTCGCGCAGTCGCGGGCAAAATCATGGACTATAAAAGCAGCCAGACGAGTGTCGGGGCAATACAAATTGCAATATTCGCTTTGGGACTCACACACAATCAGCTGATCGCCGAGTAATGAGTCGATATTCTTCTCTTATACTTTAATTCTCTGTTACTCTTTTTGCTGTTGCCATCCTTCTTTAATTTTCTACCCCAACAGGGAAAAACAGGTGGGCTATTTTGCTGTTACTAGTTTTTTTTTTAAGTTATGCTTATAAGTGAATGAAGTTTTACTTATCCTAGTAATTTTTCTTAAGGTAAGCAGAAAATTTTCGTGAACTCGCTTTTAATGATGTGCACCCTTCGGGTCCTAACAGGATGGTATAAGAGTTATGGGGTACAAACCTCAAGTAGGCTATGGCATGGCATCGCCGGTTTTATTTCCATTTACTCACAGCGGAAGAAGTGTTGAACGGATCAGAAATAAAGAGCTTCTATAAGAGCAACCACCAGCTTAGCAGTTAGGCAATTGTCAGTAGGAGGTCTCTACTCCGATTCCATCGTTCCCCTTATCCCTTTGACTTTTTTCTCTCATATGAAGCTAATTTTTCAGATTAAACTCTAGAATATGCTCCTATTCGTTACTCATTATCTATGGGTGATTATACTGAGAGCCACACATTGACCGACACTTGGTCAGCCACATATCAACATTTTGGTGAAAATAGCTGAAATGAGCCGGCGAAAAAGGCTAGGATGGGAGATTGCTGATCGACCCTTTTTACAACTTTCTTGGGTTGCATCGTAAAACATCTAAAAGAGGCATAGAACGTTTTTTATAAGGATATGTTTTTCGAAAACGATGGGTGAGGTTCACTATTATAGGTATTGCGAATTCAAGGAACACAGAAACGAATACATTATTTTGAACTATCACACGGGACCAAACAGCACCCGTTTGATCGCCGAAGAATTCTACGAGGTCTTTGAGAGTGCAGGGGTGCCGAGGAACCATCTGGAAACGATATACAGCGAAATGATGAGTAAGTGATCTCTACTGCTCGAAGTTGCCGTACGTTTACCTCTACTAAAGGCAATGGTCCACATTTCATGTTCGCCCGCCTCTTTTCTCCCCCCGTTATGTGGGAGTAGAGGAAGGTGTGAAATAGTGAGCTCAAAAAAAAAGGGGGG